GGGGTTTGGATAGACGGTTACACGTGGTATATATCTCACTTATGATGGTGAGGCATTCCGCGTGTGCTACAGTACAGCAACGCGGTTACGCGGGGCGGTCAGTGCTCTACACCATCGTGCAGAGGCTCCGACATTATGTCGAGGAGCACCAGCGAGACTGGGACGAATTCCTCCAGCCTCTGACGTATGCTTATAACATCCAAGTCCACCGGTCAACAGAGACTACTCTGTTAGACCTGGTGTTTGACAAGACAACCGTCCGGATTAACCGTCGCTGGTACAGCGCCCCAGGCTGCGGGAGTCGCCCATGACGACCCACGTACTCCCGTACAGTACAAGCGGGCGACTCTTCGCAAGCTACGGGATGTCCTCGACCGTGCGCGGGTAAAGATGAACGCGGCCCAGAAGCGGTATAAGGAGAACTTCGATAAGAAAGTCCGATTCCGACCGGTAATACAGGGGGGCGACCAAGTCTACGTGGATCGCCCTCCCCGAGCCCTCTGAGCGGCTGAACGACGTGGCCGTGACGGACAGGGGCTTGCGAAGGACGACATGTCCGTCAAGCTTTCACCGAAGACGGAAGGACCCTTTCGGGACCGCCAAGACACGGACACGACCGTTACTATGTAGCTAGACGGGCTTTCCGTACAAGTCAGTATTGACCGCGTTACGCGGATGCCGACGGGCCCGGGGGACCGGACCATGCCTACAGGGGGCATAAGTGCCCCTTCCGAACGGATTAAACCTCCCATGGGGATGGTGCTAATACCCTCGAGGAGTTCGTCGTCGACCGTCTCGTAGCGCATCGCGACACCCCTACCGGTTTGGAATACAAAGTGCGGTGGTATGGCTACACCCCCGCGGATGATACATTCGAACCCGCGGAGGGCCTACCACAAGCCTTTATCGATCGGTATTGGCGAGCCCGCCGAGCTTAAAATTCCGCTCGGTGGCGCAAGCTAAGAAGGGGGGTCTGCCAGATACTGTACCGGTTGAGACCACCCGCATGTAGGGCATGCGGGGTGCAGAAGTCGCCTACGGGACCGTCACTACCGCTCGGAACTATACGCACTACGATGGGCTTTGCGCCCTCTAAACTACGGCTGGCAGTCGACTCCGTCACCCCACCGAACTAAGGGCCTGAGTTACAAAATTGGGCAGCCCTCCGGGGAGGTGCCGGGTGTCAAATACTGTACACGCCGCCTATCAGGCGTGTAATCCGAAACGGTGAAGTCCAGGGACCTCAGGGGGATCGTCTAGGTCACTATGTGTCCCCCCAGGTCGACCATGGTCGACGATGGGGAGCTACGGCACGCCCGCGGTGCTCAAGATAAATACCGTCTCGGATACCTACAGCGGCGGCGCGACCCCCCAAACGTGGCAAAAAATTGCCAAGTGTCATTCCCGTACTGGTGCAGTGACCTGCGGCAAAAATACGGGGACCAAATTGTGAGGGGTGACACCGTTCGGTTCGGCAATTAAGTCGAAGTTCGGGCTACAATGGAGCCCCTAGCGGGCTCAATAAAAAGAGATTTTTGCTGTATCATTTCCTTCCTCCTCAGACCATTTTAGTGCCAATGCCCAGGTACGGGCATCCTCATATACTGTACGCATACCTCCTGGTTCTGGAGGAACACCTGACGGATACTTCTCCGAAAATTTCTGTTTGAACTTACCAGGTAGGCTCATAAAGAAAAAGATATACTCCTCGTTCTCCGGAACAGCGGTTATTTCGATTAGTTTCTTGAACTTAGACACATGCGTATCCATAGAGCCTTTCATTTTAATTTCCATAGATGAGCATAGATGAGCAGACTCGTGCGAAGGTT